AAGAGGCTTGAGCATGGATTGGACATTCTTAAGCTCTGAATTAAGTGGCGGTAATCCATAATGTCCCCCACCCCCACCCCTGGTGGTGTTTACAGAAAACCTGATCTCAAGAGTTTAGCATTCTGGCTTTTCTTGGCTCTGGAGAGCCAGTGTTTTTCACTTTTGCTTTGTTTTGTGTTGTGTGTTGTGATGACTGGGGGAAAAATAGCAAGTGGGACAAAGTGGTTTTTGCCTTGCTATAACATACATTGACTTGTATGGTAGTCTGGCAGATCTGAGTTCTTTGCTGTATTGTGACCTGAAGGATTGTTCCGAGTGGGTGGTGTGTCAAAGAGGATAGGCCTATTTTTATTTCCTAGCTTTGGCATGAAGTGCTTGTAATGCTGTCTGAGACAACGTACTTCATAATACCAATAAACTCCTCATTTGCCTTGCATTGCATTTCCTCTCCCACCACTTTCTTATGTTTCCTATGCTTTGATTTGCTGGGAGTCTCCCCTTGTTTGATTTCTTACGTCATTTATAAGCCATATTTCTCCCCGGTGGGGACCTAGAGCAGACAACATCATTCTGTTCCTCTATTTTATCCTCATAACAACCTTGTGAAATAGGTCAAGATGGGTAGCCATGTTAGTCTGTAGCAATAGAAAAGAGCAAGAGTCCCGTTAAGACTAACCAAATTTGTGGCAGGGGATGAGCTTTCATGTCACTACTCACTTCTTCAGATACAGTGAGCAGTGACTCACGAAATCTCATACCATGCCACAAATTTTGTTAGTCTTTAAGGTGCTACTGGACTCTTGCTCTTTTCTGTTGTTAAATAAGTTTAGGCTGAGTGTGTGAGACGGGCTGAAGGGTCATCCAGCAAGCTTCCATGGCAGAGTAGGGGGACTCGATCCTTAGTCTCCCAGACCCATCTGACGTTCTGACCAGTACATCACACTGGCTCCCTGAATGTGGTTAGAAATAAAATAAATACTAATTTCAGTTTTGAAGCAGCCAGTTTCATTAACCTGTAGAGCAGTTACGCCACAGTAGGAATAATAGCAGTAGTACTCAGTTCTGTCTTGTAAACATCTCTTTTCACATGTGTGAAAAATAGGAACTTTATTGTCAAAATGGTTGGAATTTACTCTGCATTTGACTTGTGCCAGTTTGGATAACTCTGTTGCTGACTTTGGGGAATAATCCTGTTAATGCATTAAAACATCAAGATAAGGGTGTATCTTTGCTTCGAGCCTTAATTGATTTGGAACTGCTGGGAGTCAGACCACTGTGGAGCTGTGAAGGCAATTCTGCTGATAATGATCACTGCCTGTCAGTGGAGTGGCTACAAAAGTCTGTCTGCAGACGACTGTTCTCAGCAGTTGTGATGCGTGTATTACAAATAATATTTTGTAATAAGGAGATTGAATTTGCAAGTAGTGTTTTTTAAAAAAAAATCATGGTTGAATATGTATTTAGGTTTCCTGACATTTAAAATTTTTAGCACACAGCCATGGAAGCAGGTTGCATAGTATAGGTTTGTTGCCACTCTGTTGGTTTTAGAGAATGTAATGAAGTCCCCAGTGCAGTCAGAAACAGGTTTTGGCAGGCTGATCTGCTACAGTAAGTATACGGAAGCCTGCCCTCTGTGTGTCTGTGTGACTAGTGTGATTTCCTATTTTATTAGATTAGTTATTACAGGAACGACTTGCGTTGCATAGCTTCTGAAGCAGAATAAAAAGCCCAGTGGCAGAACGGCTATTAACCATTTTATCTGGAGGGCTTTTCAGCTTCCACCAACCTGTACCTGTGTTTTTAACAGTCTTTGTATTAGCATAGACTTTACCCATTTTTTTCAGGTTGCAGAGCTTTTATAGAATAGATTTTTCATACTTTGCATTTCCACCTGTTAAGCCTGTGTCTTTAGTTAGTCATCTATTGAGAAGTACTTGGGATGGCAGATATTCTTAGGTGTTGCAGATAAGTTTACTTTGGTTGTGTTTCTGTCTTGCCTTCTACTACAGAGCTCAAGGTGCTGGGGTCAGTCATAAGTTCTTTCAGAGCTGTTCTCTCAAGGGCAGTTCTCGAGAGAGCTCTCTCAGCCCCACCTACCTCACAGGGTGTCTTTTGTGGGGAGGGAAGGAGACTGTAAACCGCTCTGAGACTCCTTCAAGTAGTGAAGGGGATATAAATCCAATCTCCTCTTCCTCTTCTTCGTCTTCTTCTTCGTCGTCTTCTTCGTCTTCGTCTTCCTCGACTTCCTCGACTTCTCCGTCTTCTTCGTCTTCCTCTTCATCCTCTTCATCCTCTTCATCCTCTTCATCCTCTTCATCCTCTTCATCCTCTTCTTCCTCTTCTTCCTCTTCTTCCTCTTCTTCCTCTTCTTCCTCTTCTTCCTCTTCTTCCTCTTCTTCCTCTTCTTCCTCTTCTTCCTCTTCTTCCTCTTCTTCCTCTTCTTCCTCTTCTTCCTCTTCTTCCTCTTCTTCCTCTTCTTCCTCTTCTTCCTCTTCTTCCTCTTCTTCCTCTTCTTCCTCTTCCTCCTCTTCCTCTTCTTCCTCTTCTTCCTCTTCCTCTTCTTCCTCTTCTTCTTCCTCTTCCTCTTCTTCCTCTTCCTCTTCTTCCTCTTCTTCCTCTTCTTCCTCTTCTTCCTCTTCTTCCTCTTCCTCCTCTTCCTCCTCTTCCTCCTCTTCCTCTTCCTCTTCCTCCTCTTCTTCCTCTTCCTCTTCCTCTTGTAGCGTTATCAGGAGGGTTTTCATTCAGATAGTGTCCTGCTTTGTTTTAGTTGGTTGCTGTATCTGTACCCATCAGCCATATCTGACTTCCACAGGCTGTAATTCTAAGTGAACTTGCACATAAGAAGTCCCCTTTAAAACAAATTCCAAGTAAATTAGGATCTGACTCTATGTTCCGAAGGGCATGCCTACTACAGAGATAAAACGTCTTGAAATTTTGAAGCCATGGGGGGGGGGGGAAACAAATCTTGAAACAATTTTTTTTAGGGGAAATTGAAATATACGCAACACTTCCTTATCCAACTTAAATTTATTGTGCTGCTTTAACAACAAGAAATGCATACTTTATAATTTAGCATAGTATTTATTTATGGAATTAGAGTATAAAATTATGGAATTAGAATATATATATATGCCTTGTTTTTCTACAAGCGAAACTGTGAATGTACCCGGTATTTAGAGAGAAGGCAAGCTACAAACTGCTGCATTCCACATGACCTGAGCAAATATATCTTACTCTTTGTTGTTTCAGATGGGGGGGGGGAAGAGAGCTGAAAATAGGAAACACAAGTTTTGTAACAAAAGGAAGTATATTTGAACAGAAAATGTCTCCACTGCAGTTTGCATATCAAAGTTAAACTGTATAACATTGAACTCTTCATTAATACTATGATCAGGCACATTATAGGATATTTATTGTGGACGAAATTACATGTTTAAATGAACATATCTGTGTCTGCAGTATACATGGAAATTACTGTTATCTAATGCTGTATAGGAAGATTTTTAAGTCAGTCAATCTACATCATTGAGTGCCTTAAAGCGTTTTGTTCTTTTCAAAAGAGAAAATATTGCATACCAGTTTCTTTCAGTGTTCCCCCAAGTTTTCAGTTTTTCTGTTGGAAATGGTGAGGAGAGTACTTGTGGGGGGGCATAAACATACTGTCCATCTTCTCAAATATTTCATCTTTTCTCAGTCCTTAACATTTCTGCTGCTTTCAGATGGGGCTAGGAAAATACTTCAGATTCTTAGCACCATCTGAAAAATGCAGGACTCCTTCCCCCTCCTAGATTGGCCTGGCAGTGACCTGCATAGCCCAGGCTGGCCTGATCTCTGAAGCTAAGCAGAGCTGGCCATGATTAGTGCATGTATGAGAGACCACCAACGAATACTGGGGTTGCTACAGAGTCAGGCAGTGGCAAACCACCTCTATTTGTCTCTTGTCTTGAACACCCTACTGGGTCGCCATAATTCAGCTGCAACTTGATGGCACTTTCCACCCCTAGACTGGCCTGTGTCAGAGTGTTTTCCAGCCTTATAGTTGAAACGCTTTCATTATTAGGCACAGTTCAGGGAGTGTGTGATAATGCATATCTTGCTTTCATATAGAAGAGATCACTTTCACCAGCTGCTGTGATGATGGAGATGGTGATCATATTGACGGTGGCTTAATAAGAAGCCTTTTACGTTGATCTTTGGCCTGTTTCAAACACTGTCTTGTTATCCTTGCTTACTCACTCCGTAGGGAGGGTTGTATCTATATTGCAGATGAAGAGACTGAGAATGTGAGAGGATGGCTTGTCTTATGACCATCTGTAGTATGGCAGAGGCAAAATTAAAACTAGAAATTCCCTGATCTGTAAGAGTCATGGATGGCTGTGGTTGCCTGTGCTAGCCTGTTCCGGGTAAAACTGGGGCCTTCTAGCACTAATGTGTATTGTGAGAAGTAGCCCTAAGCCTGACTAAGCAAATAATTGGTGTTGATGAAGGAGCCACACTTTTTTTTACTATTTTTCATGAGTATGTTGTGTGTGTGTCTGTGCTTGTGAGCCTGGAAGTCATAGTGACTTCTGGCAACCCCTACTGGGACTAGGATGTTTGAGAGGTGGCTTGATAACCTGCCTCTGGGTCTCAGCCCTGGTATTCCTTGGAGGTTGCCCTTCCAAGTACTTGCCAGGGTCGGCCCTGTTTAGTTTCCAAGATCTGACGAGATCGAGCTTGCCTGAGCTATTCAGGTCAGGGTGAGCCATACCTGTTTTTGAAGCTTTTTTAAAAAAATTCTGTATTACAAAATTTGACACAACTCTTTCGAGGCGGTGACATGTCCAGTCTTGAGCACTTGTTTCACCTTCACAAACATAGACATGTAAACCATTTTAAGGGGATATGTTTATTTGGCAGTATTTACTGGTTGTGTAGGGCTGTAGTCCTTTGAAGTTTCCAAGTGGGTCTGTTGAGATCTTGTTTGATCTCTCACAAACATTTTTTTTTTTTTTGCATAGAGCTGCGCTGTGTACCAGGGCAATTTGCTTGCCGCAGCGGGTCGATCCAGTGCATCCCTCTGAACTGGCAGTGCGATGGATGGCCTACCTGTGAGGATGAGAGCGATGAAGTTGACTGTCCGAGTAAGTGCTCCTAAAATGAATTGTATTCTCTGGTTGTTTCTCATCAACATTTTGTGAGGAGGTGGTCTGAGAGCTGTGTGTGCGTTGGAACGCATAAAATTTCTGTATGCAAAGGCAGACCAGGAGTCCGTCCAGCTCAGTGCTATCTACTCTGACTGGCACAGCTCTTCAGAGACCTGAGCAGAGAAAGGTCTTCTGCAGTGGCTACTGTTTGGAGATACTAGGGAATAAATTGGACATTTTTTGCATGCAAAGTACATGTGCTGCATAGAGACCACGAAGAATAGCTCAGGTGGGTTCTCATGCATGCAGTAGGTTACCTGATTGCGTTGATATTAATAAAGTGAAGCTGGAGCCAAGAGCCATTTTGCAAAATAGCTGCTGGCACCGTTCCCCAAATGCCATTGAAAGAGGGCATGCAGTGCTGTGATGGGAAGTTTTGCAGCAGTTCCCATGCTTCTGCTTGTATAAGAGAGCTTGTGCAACATATTTGGATTTTGTTCTGCTTTCCTCACACTGCCCTCTGGCATACAGTATAACTCAGCTCTCCTGTGAGTAACAGATGGATTCTACATGTAGGATTCAACCCCTGGTTTAGCTTTCAGTGTGGCTGAAATCTGAATTTGATTTTGGGTAACATATGCACATCGGGGGTTTTTGTGCATGTTACAAGACTTGAAATGATGCCTGATGAAGGTTAAAGCAGAAAGGGCCAAAGCAGGATTACAGCTGAACATCAAGACGATACACACACATAAAATTACACAACTCTAAGGTTGATGAAGAAATTGAAATTGTTTAAGATTTTTCTGTTCCTTGGCTCCATCATTAACCAAAAGGAAATCAGAAGGAGATTGAGACCGGAAAGGGCAGCCACAACAGTGCTAGAAAAGATCCTTAAGTGTAAGGATGTGTCGCTGGTGACCAAGGTCAAGTTAATTCACGCCATAGTATTCCCCATTACTCTGTATGGGTTTGAAAGTTGGACAGTAAAGAAAGCTGACAGGAAGACAGTTGATTAATTTGACGTGGTATCGGAGGAGACTTCTGTGGATACTGTGGACTGCCAATAAGACAAATAAATGGGTTCTAGATGAAATCAAGCCTGAGCTCTCTTTAGAAGCTGAAACGACAGTCAACTGAGGCTATCATACTTTGGTCACAGTACGAGAAGACAAGAGTCACTGGAAAAGACAATAATGCTAGGAAAAGAGGAAAACCCAACAGGAGATGTACTCAAGGAGGCCACAGCCCTCAGTTCACAGGATCTAAGCAAGACGGTTAATGATAAGGTGTTTTGGTAGACATTGGCCCTGGTCACATGGGCAGGAAAATGCGGGGGGGGGGAGCGTGGCTGTTTGCCCCGGAGTAAAATAACGCGTGGTTGCACGATCAGACGTCCCGTCGAGGTCCCGTGTTTAGGGGGGAGGTGCCGATCACACGACCATCCTGCAGCGCAGCAAAGAAGCGGTGCGGCGCGATCACACCAGCAATCGCTAGGCGCCGCTTCCGTGGCAAACGGGATAGATTTTTTTTTAAAACTGAAGTTTGTGCATACGCATGACTGAGCAATCGTATCTGCACATCCGAAGGCGGGTGGTGGGCTTACCGGAGAGGGCGACAGACGCTTCCAGACCCCAACAGAGCTCCGAGGCATAGCCAATGGAGGGGGAGGTGGGCCCCCTCGTCACAGCCGCTCCAACCGCCTGCGCGACAGTGGCCATAGCGACCCTCCAGAGGCGGCAAGCCTGGCTGCAGTGGGAGGGGGCCTCTTTGTGCACATGCGCCGTTGGGCACTTGTGGGCATCCTGTGGAGACTTGAAAAAAAAACCTGTTCGCAACGGGACATGGGCGGGCGCCGGATGCCATGGGATTCCACCGAAAACGCGATCAGGCACCCGCCTTTGCCCCACGGTTTCCGGAAACTAGTACCTTGGAGGTATTAGTTTTTTACCCCGCATCTTTGGTGGGAAGCCTCGGGTGAGCCACGGGAGCTCTACGCTTCCCAGATGTGGTGGTGTGATCGCGCCCGGAAAATCCGCCTATCTTCCGTCTCTGTAGCGTGGCTAATGTTCCATGTGACCGCAGCCATTAATTCATAGGGTTGCCATAAGTCGAAAGCGACTTGATGGTACACCTCCACCACTCCCCGTCTCCCCCCTTCATCAAGATTGTTGAGGTCCATGATTTTATCTACAGTTAAAGTATCCCTTGTGTCTACAGAGATGTGACGGGGAACAATGCAATGTCAAAAATTGAGCAAAGAAGCAAATAACTTATAATTTGTCCACTGCCTGATTCAAGTCCATTTGCCTCTTCAGAGAATCAGAGAGCATACTTGTCTTCAATTGCAGTTACACGATTGACCATATAGCCAGTCCATTAGGTTTACTAGCTGTAGTTTATCCTCCACGCTGATGAAAATTGTGTGCAAAATGTTGATTGCTTGTTATTTAAAATATTCATTTTATTTATTTGCATTATTTATAGTCTGCCTTTCTCACAGGGACTGAAGGTGCGTTACGCATAGTGTCTCAGTACAGTCACCAAAATGGGACATTTATTTCATTAACCAATGCATTAGGATTTTAGAAGCCCGGAACCATCAGAAAGAACTGAAGCATGACATAAGTATTAACATGACACATTTAAGTGGTGGAGAAATTACACAAATAAGATCCTGCTTACAATAAGCTGTGCACAGCAGTGTAGACTACAGTCCCTAATCATTTATTTAAGTAAGTTTGTGAACCATTTTATGCAGTGCAACCCTGTTACCTGCACAGAAAAACCCTCTTGAATAATTCAGTTTTGCATGGTTTGTGGAATACTACAGTTTCCCCATAGCCCTCCAGGTCATAATAGGGATCTGACACAAACTGTTGCTTTTTAAAAAAGATTTCATTGATTTCCCCCCCCCTCACAGTTCCCATGTGTTTCAAAAGGCCAGGCCTTTAAAATGTGCTCCAAACGAAGAATCCCTCTACATCTTTTGTTGAACTTCAGGTGAAAACATACACACTATATGGATTATTAGAGTGGGAGCCTATTCTGGCCTGTGTTTCTAGGAGAAATCTTGCTGGGATTTCAGTCCACGTCTTCTCTGTCATATTTTATTTGTCGTTCGCCTTTCTCACTGACACTCAAGTAATGTAAGTCAGTGCAGACAATAGAATGAGACATCTGATGAGCTATGCAAGCAGAGCAGGACTACAAAATTTGAAAGAATGCAAAAAGTAGGATACAGGATATGTGAATTAGTGTGCCTTACCTCAGAATTCCAGGCATCTTGTTCAGCTCCTCTTCCACTCTGGCTTCGGAATTGTGCCTCATTGTTATGCAAAATCAAGTAGGGCTTTGCGGTTGATGTATTAAAGTGTAGCTAATTTGTAGTTTGTCACTGTTGTCCTTTCATCAGCATGATCAAGCCAGAAGCAATACACGTTTTTGTAGTTGTGACTCTTGTACAGGAAGTAAGACTGCTGATCTCCTGCAGTCAGGTGCTATTTTGAGCGCCTTCTTGTAGTCTAGAGGTCTGTTTATGCCTTCAGAGAAAGCAACTGTGCCCTGGTCTACACAGGTGGCACAATAAGAGGGTTCACACATGCAGGGTGGTAGAATAGAGTGTACCATTTTGGACTGCGGGTTGCAGGATTACATCCTTTTCTAAGCCCTCCCCCCATTAATAATTTCCTTGAATGGGGAAAACTAGCATAGCATGCAGATAGTTAGGCTAGAATTTTTCTACCTGATGTGCTTAGTTTACTTATAGGGAGGTTTTCCCCCCTGTGGGAGCATTCAAAATATGACGCCCTCCTCCCCCAGTATAGTACGGCCTATTCTACCATTTAATTTTGCTGCATACATAGACTAGGGTTTCAGTTTCTGTTTGTGGTAGACAGAGATGAGTTTCCTTGAAGCTGAGTTTAACACAGTTCTTTGCACTTGGACTTGATCCTGAATTTTTCAATTGACTAGCTGTCAGGTTTGACAAGTATAGGGGGGTTAGAGAGAACCTTTCTCCAATCTTCCACCAGTACTTTATACATTCATTCTCAGTTGGAAAAGCTGGCTGGGACTTGCCTCTCTTTCGTTCCACTCCAGCAGCCTAATCGATGAAGGAGATGGAGAAAGAGGCGAGGTTGGAGAGTTCTTCTGCCCATCCCCTTTACATAGTTACCTGTAGGCCAAGATCGGAAAAGCTGTACAACCAGTCCTGTATGCTTGAGAGGCAGACAGCAGTCCTCTCCGTGCTCCTTGGCAAAGGCACTTGGTGACATGGGGGGTGGGGGAATCCTGCTCAGAGAGAAAAATCAACACTCTTTCCTGGCTCGTGCAAGCTCTTGGCCTTGCCTAAAATAGCTCTTTGAATCCTGGCCCTATGTCTCGTATAGAAATGAAAATTACCCAGCCCCAGCTGTCATATGTAGAAAATCTTACGACACCATAGTAAAAATCCAGTTAAGTGACTATTAACTAGATGTGTTGTGAACAAAACCTAGTTAGGAAGACACACCTCAAGAGTTTCTACCCCACATTCCAACTCTGATCCAAATTTAATTTGCCTCTTCACAGCTCCTTGGGTGCTGCATTGCTTGAATAGGTCAATGTCCTTTCCTGCAGCTTTCTAGCCAGATGGTTTTGGCAGAAGAATAAACCTGATTTTTACTGGTGGTTTGTATTTGTGTGCTCCTGAGACTTAGTAGAGAGAGACCTTTCTGTGAGTCATGTTTCATAATGAGCTTGTGGGGATCTTTGACATGTGTAGTTGCTTCATTATTTTTTAAAAACGGTGTTCATCTTAAGCTGTTAAACTAGAATGTTGAGTGACGGCTTGAGAGGAAGGGAAATTGCCGCACAGAGTTTAGTAATCAAAGAGCCTTGCAAGATTACATAAGAGGCACATTTTATTATGGGTGGGGAGCTGCCAGCTGTCTCCCCCCCCCCTCCGGTTTCGTCTCTTTCACATTGGCTGTTTTGAGTTTGTTTTTGGTTGCAGA